GCCGCGGGCGGGACACACCCCTGCTAGCTCTCCGCCAGCCAATCGGCAACCGCGCTGGCACTGACAGACAGCCGGGCCGACCAATGGCAAGCGGCGTTTGTACCGACCCCCGGCCACGCGCTCTGTCCCGCGTTTCCCGGCCCCGGTCCCAGTTCTGTTCCCGGTCCCAGTTCTGTTCCCGGTCCCAGTTCTGTTCACAGCACCAGTTCCACTTCTGGACCCCTTCCAGTCCCAGTCCCAGTCTCAGTGTCAAGCAGGCCGGGACAAGCTTCAACACGGGCCTTTATTGGGTGTGGTCAGTGCCGGTAACGCTGGACCCACCCGCCCTAACAGAACAGCACAACAACCGCAACACGGGAACGCTGCCGTGCCCGGTGTGCAGCCAGCCACCCTCACGGGCTGTGCCCGCTTCATCCACCTGCCCGCACACAGCATTTTCTCCCTTGCTTTTCATCCCAAGGAAGTCTTCTCCCTGCAGGGCTACGTCGCTGCTGTTCCCAAAAAGACTGGAGGCTTCCAACGTGGTACCCTCCCCAAAACTGATTTGAATCAACCCAGCAGCCAGCACTGGGGATTAATGAGGTCTACCCAGCACATCCCCTGAGCCCAGGAGATGCCCTGACCCACAGGGACAACGCTGCTCCAACTGAGAGAGGCCTCAGGCAGGGCTGGTTACCTTCTGCCTCACTCCAGCCTGTCCCTGGACAACAGGAGCGCTTCAGCCAAGACCTGCAGCTGCTCCAAGACCTCTCGCTGCATCTCCACAGCCACGTGGAACACGCGGTGGTCGGAGCTGTTGTACATCACGGCGTTCTGGAACATGAGCATCAGGTCACACTGGAACTGCATCACGGACTGGATGTGTCCCTTTGTCAGCCTCCTCTTTATGCTGGATAAATCCATGGGTCTACAAAAAAAAGACACAAAGAAGAATGAAACTGCAACTCAGGCCAGGCATCCTCTGGGATCTGCATGAATGTGCTTGTTCTCATTTCAGGGTGGCCCTGAAAGTACAGCTATTTTCAATCAATTTTATTGCTCAAGACACACAGTGGGGAGTGAGAAAGGCTTTTCTTCCAAGCCAGACAAACCTAAAGTGAGTTCAGCCAATGCGACACTTGCTATCCAATCAACTTGGCAGGTCGTTAGCAGTCACCTCTGGAAAAAATGGGATGCTGAGCTCCAGAGAAGGCAAGCAGTAATTAGTCTTCAGGAAGTCAGTCCAGGTCTTAGTGGAGAAAGGAAAGTTACTAAAATAGGTATCTATTAAACCTCCTAAAGATCGAATGGTGCCACCAGCAAAAATAGCAGTGCTGGTAAGGGGAACATGATAGGGAATAAATATTACTTCCCTTATTTTGACAGAATGGGAAAATGAATGGCTGCAGAGAGGACAACTGTGACCAGAATAGAACATGATTCAGCTCTGAAAAAATGCCATTAATCTCTCTGGGAAATATTCTTATGACCCACTTCTGTGCTGAGAGTGAAACATCTGGGGCGCTCGCAGCGGGTGAGGAGGGGGCATCTCCTGAGGCACATTCCAGACATGGGGAGAAGGGACTGCTGAGCTGCAGGGCCTGGATCCCCTGCCCAGGGACTGTCCCTGGGATAAGCCAGCCATGCAATGCCTGCACAGGGAAGGCACAATTCCCACCAGCTCCAGAGTCAGTGCAAGCTTCCAGGTTCTAATTACCCAGAAGGGAGTTTTACTGAAAGAAATCAGTGGGAGATGCTGGTGACAGCCAAACTCTGGAAAAGGAGGAAGGAAACCATCCCACTGGCCCTTTGGAAACCAGAGAAGACAGAAAACAACCAGAGAGAAATCAGCCAGTGAGCACTTCCTCCACAAACTGACCTCTTTACCACATCCTTGTATCCAGGGGCTTGTTTCTCTGACACTGGCTTCAGGAACGGGCTGCTGAACCTACAGGGACAAGGACAAAGAATGTTCTCTGCCTGCCCCTGCACCAAAAATATGGAGCAGGGCTTGCCTCTCCCTGCTGGTGGCCACAGCCAGTGTTGTGCCAGCTGTGTGGGAAGCAGCATTTGGGCTCTGCCACTTTAAGCAGAGGAAATCAATATGCAGTGTTCTCTGCAGCTCTGCAGCAGGCAGCTGTTCCCACAGTCCTGGGGAGACGGGCCAGCCCCTGGGAGGGGAGGATTAGGCCTGGTGACACAGGAGCTGGAACTCAGGGCAGTGTGTTCAGGACATGTTGATGCAGCCCTCTGTTCCCATGTACCTGTGGCTGGCTATCATCCTCCAGATGGACAGGAGCCTTTTTTTGAGGATCAGGTGTTGGAGGGGGTTATTCCAGCTTGGCTGCAGCCTGTGGAGTGAAGATACTGCCAGATCATCATACTTGAGACAAAGTAGGAGGTGACACTTCTGCTGGCTCCCACCACATCCAGGTGGATGAAGCTACAAAAAGCCTGAGTGTGATGGTGGGAGTGTTCTGCATCAGAAAGCACAACTGAACATCCAGAATGCAGGAAGATGCAGGACAACAGGTAAAAGCAAAGCTGAGATAAAGCGCAGCACCAAACTGGATAGAAAACCTCAAGCTGCTCTGCAGTTCAGAATTCACTGAGATGTTTTTTTATGAAGTTTCTCTTCCTAAAACCCCACGTTTTTTTCTTTGAAAAGCAGTCCAAATGATCACACACGTGGCAGAGCCTGCATCTGACTGACACACCTGCAGCTGCTCAAAGGGGGTTGGTAATGCTGGGCTGTGAATTGCCTGACAGAACCCGATGTCCAGCTCACACCAGGCCTACTTGACTTGAGAAAACATGTATTTTCCATTTAATCTCGTATTTAATCTCTACTCTTCTCACTTCATTTTAGGATGAATGCCCTATAATACCAGAAAATCCAGAGATAGCACAAGTTCCCTCCTTCCCTCCTGCTCTGCTTGGCTGTCTCTCCTTCCTGGATATGTCCTGTGCCATGCACTTGTTCTCACGTGTGACAAGGGAAATGGCTCTGTTCTGCAGAACCAGCTACTTACAGGTGTGTGTTGAGAGAGCCTGTGGAGTCCAGCACTGGGGCTGTAGAGCTGTTGTCACTGTTATCTTCATCCAGGGCCTGAGCACTCATCTCTGGTGGATGCAGCTCATCTAAAGGTGGTTCTCCAGGTGTCTCTTGAGTCTTGCCCTGAAGAGCACAGAGGATACATCTAAAAAGGCAGCACATTACCTGTAATCTTTACCTAGAAGCCAGCCTGCTGCATATCCCTTCCCTGAATCCTGGCTCAGCTGGGAGCTTGGTTGCTCTGTTACTCAGAGGATGCTGTTTGACCTCACTCAGACCTTCCCAGCAAGAGCTGTGTCTGATCTCTTGGATGGCATCCACCCCTGGCTGACACAAACCCTGTGGAGCTGAGTGGTGCCCAGTGTTGTGTCTGTCTGCTCTCTGGGAAGAGTCATGGATGTAGAGAGGGCAATCAAGAGCTGAGGTAAGACTGCCTCAGGCTTGTTAAAGCTCCAGATCCAGATAACAGGAACCCCTAGAGTTCAACAAGGTTGTTTCCTCACAAACTCCCACGTTAAAATGACAGGGAATAGACTCAGCCAGGAAGGAGAGTGGTGCTGTGGTTGTAGTGGTTTTCCAGTAAAATGCTCAGTGGGATTTCATGCAGGAGCACCTCAGAATCCTCAACAGATGTGATGCATGAGCAGACTTCTCAGAAAGAAACTGGACACTGTGCTGAGTTTGGCTGTGACCACTGGGAGAACTGTGAGGGAGTTGCTGGGAATAACAGCAGTTGAGAGCAGAGTAGCTGCTGGGAATGCACTGTTCTGGCTGAACAGGTGAAATCCTGGAGGTTACCAGTGTCCCGAGTTTGCAAGAGAACAGGTGTGGAAAAACAGCCCTGTTCCTCCACCACTGTGTTAATTTCCCAGGAATACCCAGCAGGCTGGTGCGAGCCCACAGCCCCCAAACACGGGACTGATGCAAACCCAAGCTAGACAGTGCCTGCTTCCAAGACATGACAGTCCCCAGGGGCAGATGGTTATTGCTGGCACAGCCACGTGGGCCTGAAACCAGCCAAGCTGTGCTGCAAAACACAGCAATTAGAACCAGGCAAGTATTCCAACCTTGCCTAAAACCTGAGAGCAGCCTGCCAGCTCTCATGAGTCACCTTTACACTGCCAAGGAGCAATTCCTCCAACTCACATCTGAGGGTTTCATCTGTAACAAGCTTCCTGTTTATAAAAATACACAGCCATACATAAAAAACACCCTTCCCTCATACATTTCTTCTGTGTTCCCTTCCTGAGCGTTTTGTCTCCCCTCTCAGAACCTCAGGCTCCCCCATCTCTTCTAGAGCTGGTTTCCTTCACTGTTTCATCTCTCCTCCAGGGCTAGAGGCTCTTTTAGGACCACCACTCTTCTACCTCTCTTCCCAGGGAGTGCTCTTTCTCATCTTTTGCCAGGATGTGTAGTTGACTTTCCTCTGCTCCCGAGACTGCTGTTCCTGTGGTCTTTTCCTGGCACCTCACTTCTCCCCCGTAACTCTGCTTCCCCGAGCCACAATAATCCCACGGAGTCTGCGATGACTCTTTGCTGCTAATGCAGAAAGATTCCAACATCTGGGTTACCTGCAAGACAGTGACTTATTACTTCAAGTTGTGAAGGCAAAAGGAAGAAGAAATAAACAGCAGAGATGCTATTTTTGCAATCACTCATGAACGCCTTTCCATTTTTAGGAATCCTTGCAAAATCTGATGAAGCCCTGTGTTATTATTACAGTGTCAGTTCTCTGACATTTCTGTGCTTAAGGGTGAGCTGTGTTTTGGCAAAGCACCTGCCTGGGTGCAATGTGAGCTCCAAATGGGAGGAAAGGCTGGGCTGGGGAGAAAGTGAACCCAGAGCCTCTGCTGTGCCTCCAGTCTGTTTCTGTTTGTATGGATGGTCCCAGCCCTGAAAAGCCCAATGTTTCAGGAGAGCCTGAACTATGCTGCCCACCTTCCTGTAATCCAAACAGCCCTACCTCCAGGAGGAACTGGAAAAGACTGTCACTTTCACATGGCTTCTCTGCCTTGTGGTAATCTTCACTATCATCCTTCCAGAGAGGCTCACTCAGCTCCATCTCATGGTCTGTCTCTTGGCTGCTCCCTTCTAGCTTCCCCATGGCCAGCTCTTCAGTGTTTCTCCAGCTCCTCACATCCAGATCCAAGCTTGAATCCCAGTCAGGAAGAGACTGAAAATCACTGTTCTCTGATTTGATGGGAGATTCCAACCCAGACTGCCAGGCATGGCCCATCTGCAAACAATGAAAAGACAATGAAACAATGAAGAAATGTACCCTGATCCAGACTGCCAAGCCCAGCTCATTTCTTGACACACTTGGAGGGCCACAGCATGGGAAGGACCCTGAAGTGAGCAGCCTACACCTGAGCTCACCACACAGCACATGGCAGGGCTGCAGCTCTGCAACACAAACTGCTGCTTCAAAGCAATCGAATTTCAGGTTTTCTGGTGCTTTTGTTGTGCTCTCTCTCTGCTCCATTCAGTAGGTCACTCTGCTGAGGGCATGCTGAGCTGTCTGGGAGCACGTGGCTTTGCTGATACTTAGCAAATTTGATTCAGCACCATATTTAAGGTGCTGAAGGCATCCAGCAAGCTCAGACCGAGTCCTGCTGGGGCTCCTCAGTTGCTGAGTGCTGGGAACAACTGGTGACTCCAAGGACAACTCACTGAAATTCCACTTGTTGCCCCAAGAACTTCCTACACTGGAGATAACTTAGTACAAACCTTACAGACACAGTTTTGAAAGTGACAGGTGTGATTTATCTGGATTGTGATATCTCATGTACCTCAGCCAGAAGAATTATAACCACACAGTCACACACTGACAGTTCTATACATTGCAGAAAAGAAAAGTTAAAGCATTAAGGAAGAAACCACTCATTTAATCTGTTGATTTGTCCATGCCTACATGTCTTCTACTCCATGAAAGCACTCTGAGTCCTCTAAGCCTGGGGAATTGCAGTCACAGTACAAAAGTAAAAGATGTCACAAAATCTGCGTCTTGCCACTGAATGGAGCTGCCTGGATGCTGCACCTATGGAGAATTCTATGCATTAATTAATACTGTCTTTAGAGCCTTCAGTTAATTATGTACAACCCAATTTTTTCAGAGTTTTGAACAAGTGTATTTCTCACTGATTGTCTTTTCCATTCTCAGGACTGCTAGCACAATTCCAAATTCAGCTTATGGTGCATAACAGGGAGAAATACAGAATCCACTGGGTCTGGGATGAGAAAACAGCTCTGCTTATTTTGTCAACTCGCAAGCAGAGTTGGGATCTGAAAGCCTGTCCTTCCAAAACCTCTCTCAAAGTTCTCTTCAGTGGCAGCAGATGAAATTTGATGAGGTAAGAGATAATATTACCTGCTCTCAGCTTCCAGGTGAGGGAGTTGGGCAAACTGAGATTCCATCTGAAGAGAAACCCTGTGCCTGGAGCTCTCTCCTGCAGCCTCAGCAGAGCTGCCACACGCAGAGGCACGGAAAAGCCTCAGCCCTGGGTAATCTGATCACTTGTGATCATCTTTCTGTGCTCCCCGAGGGATAAATGCTGAAAATCAGGAAGTCCTGGGAACTTGGGCATAAGATTAAAGAGATCTTCAGCCTTATGTTCAGTTTTACCAAATCTTGGAAGACTCAAGATGCCAGAGAGCAGAACAGTTAGTGCAAGACATGATGAGTGAAATAATCACAGACAGCTCAGCTCTACCCATTTCCGGACAAAATGACACAGACTTGAACTTTTAATTAAGAATTGCCTGACAGTTCTTAATTATGTTGGCTACAGAAGTCACTAGCAAGGAACCTCTCTCAGACTGGAAAGTTTTAGTTCACTTTGCAGAGATCAGACACTGCACAACCCTTGCTGTTCTGGGAAAAAGCTGTTAGAAATCCAAAAGACAGCCTTTAAAAAGAACTTACATGTCAAAACAAGAAAAATGATAAAAGCCTGAATTCTAATAAACGAAATGTAGAATCCACATAAAGTAGGCAAAAAAGAAAAAGAGAACAATTTGCTAAAGACATAAAAGCAAATAAAAACAAAAAACCTCATCAAAAACATCAGAAGCAGAGAGCTGCCAGATGATCAGTGGGGATGACACACGATCAGTGCCAAACATCTCAGTGGAAAATAGGGCCAGTTGGAAAAACCAAATTAATCATCATTATCAGCAGTTGCCACAGAGGAGCTCACACGAGACCTTCTCTTGGGATGGGTCTGAGAGACGATTTCTAATTAAAATGTCAACAGGGGAGATTTTAGAACAATTTGAGGGAGTGAATAAACCTTAGAACCCATTGGGATTCATTTGTGAGCCCTAAAGCAGCTTAAATATAACATGACTGAGTCTATGCTGTGGAAGTTGTCATTTAAGAAGAAAACCAGAAAGGGGTGACAGTTTTATCTGTCTGTAAAAGGGGTGGGTGCTGGGAGATGCAGCACAGTAAAACATCAGCCCTGTACTAGACAGATTAGAACAAAGTATTAGGAAGAAGAGAATTAATAAGTAGTCAGAGCATGAGATGATGAATTGGGAAAGAGGGAACGAGGCTCCATAGAGAAAATCATATTTAAAGCTCTTAAACATCATTAAAGACTATTAAAATGTCATGGGACAAGAGAAAAGGCTGAGAGAAAAATACCTGGTTTAGAGAAGAAACCAAGGGTAGGAAGGAAGAGCAACGATTGCCATGATGAAAGCAAGTTACCAGAGGGTCTGATAAAGGTCTTCTCCTGTGCTGCACCTTCAGTTTTCCAGCAGAGACAATGGCAGGACAGAGGTATTACAGAGAAATGGAGCCAGACTCTTCTCAGTGCCCAACAGTGAAAGGAGACAGACACAAGTTGCACCACAGGAAATTCTGACTGGGTATAAGGTAAATATTTGAAGCTGGCCCTGATCTGAGTAGCTGAATGAAGTAAAGGAATGCACAGAGGTTCTTTCCAACTTAGAATCATGGAAAGAGGTTGGGTTGGGAGGGACCTTTAGAGGCTGTCTGGGTCCAGCCCCCCTGCCATAGGCAGGGACACCTTCCACTATCCCAAGTGGCTCAGTCTCATCCAACTTGGCCTTCAACACTTGCAGGGATGAGGTATCCACAGCTTCTCTGGATTACCTGTGCCAGGGCCTCACCACCCTCATTGTAAAAAAATCTTTATCCAGTCTAAGTAGGGCTTTTAGTTTAGAACCATTACCTTGTCCTGTCACAACAGGAATTGCTAAAATGTTTGTCCCTAACTGAAATCACTCCATAAAATGCATGAAAAAGACCCCTGTAACTTTTTGTGCTATGAATGAGAACAATAAAAATTCAAACCAGAAATCTGCCCCCCAGGTTTAGCAGTGAAGGACAACCAATCACCATTCCAAAGGACTTTCAGCATTTCCACATCAGTAAGGTGACTCGTGGTGAAAATTCACCTCAGCAATACATGGGACCTGACACAGCAGGCATGGCCAACTTCAACACTGAACTTGTGAAAATTGAGAGCTCTTACTGGATAAGGCAACAATGCCTCTGGTCTTAATCCCAGTGACTCAGTTTCCTGAAACCTGTCTACCAGAAAGCTGCACCCTGGACATGTTGTACAGAGTGCAGAGCACTCCCAGCTGCTGCAACAATCAAGGATGGTGTCATTTTGTTGTTTTTCTTTCACCCATGAAAGGTTGTGTGGGCAGAAAACATGCAAGTTTCATCTCGGGTCATATGAGCAGAAAAAGTGACTTGGAAATTCTCGCAGAGAACTTAAACCATCATGTTGCTGAGGAAAAGGACAGTAATTCCCAGCAGAAACAGCACACAAGCTCAGACGTGAAACCGAGTACTGGCAATCCTGCCTACGGGTGCTGGCATCACAGATTTTCACTCTGACTAGTGCAGCCTCCACAGAGCTCTGGGGAAACAATGTCAAATCCTTTTCAATGCATTTTCTCCTAAAGGTCCAACAAGACTGTGGTATTTAACTTCTCAAGGTTTGATCTCCACTGTCACCACAGCAGTGCTGTATCCTCACACACTCAAGCAGGGAATCTTCCTCTCCTTCCAAGCACTGTGCAGCATTCCTGTGATTTATGGATTGTCTCTAACAGCAGAGCTCTCCCATTCATGTGTGCTATAGGGATAACTGGAAGAGAATTGTATTTGCAGATATTCCAGGTGGGGATCCAGGCTTGTACAACAGGGTTCCTCCCTGCAGAGCTGCGATGCTCAGTACACTGCACACAGGTTTGTTCCCAGATTTTAATATACATCACATTTACACATCACTAGTAAAAATCTGTACACTTCACATTACAGTACATACGAGCCACCAGTTGCTAGCTAACACCAGAACACTGATGAAGCCCAAGACAACTGCCCTAAAACAGGCAGGGGGGCCAGTCTTCCCCTCTGGGGAAGATTCTTTGGGTTACACATTCTGACAAGACACTGCTGTCCAGAAGGGCAAGCAAAGGTGGTGAACCAGGTCCCAGAAATGGACCTGCAGCTTTTCCTCCTCCTCCAACAGCTGTTAAGAGCTGTCTGCTTGTACTCCAGCTCCGAATGCCTGGGATTCTGCCGGGATTTTGTGTCTTCAGCATCATTTCTTCATCTTCATGTCCGCCTCGATGGCGCAGCGCCGCCCTCTGGTGCCTCCGTCCTGCTCACAAGGCAAACACACACAGTTACACAACCCCACAGGAACGTCCCTCCGGCACAGGGCAGGGAGGGAGGAAGGGAGGGAGGGAATTCTGCATCTGGCAACAACTTTTCATGCCTTCCCATCAGGACAAAGGGAAGCTGTCCCTGCCAAGGCCTGCCTGCAGACCTACCTAAAGCTGGATCTGGACACAGCAGGGTGCTGGGCTTGGCAGCATCTCTGCACTGCTGAAGCCAGGGTAGAGAAGCAATACCTCTAGCCCAGAGAATGCATATAGTGCAGGCTTTCTCCTAAGCAGCAGATTCTAGATTAAGGTGGAAAAAGGAAAACTGCTGACTAACCTACCTGATTAGCTGCTGATCCCTATGGGAAGTGCTCCTCCAGCTGAGTGTCCCTGGCACTAGGCTCCCTAGTTCCTCCACACTGCTCTTTTCCATGAGCAGGTGAGCTGAGAGCTTCCTCTGATCCGCTGCCCTCTCTCTCTGGCTGATCTGCTGCCTCTCCTGGAGTACTCCTCTGTCTTTGGATACATGTGAGATACATCTTCCTCCTCTCTCTCCTCACAGTGACTCAAAGACTAGGGGTTTCCCAGAGGGAATATTTTTCCAAACACTTCCAGATGACCACAGGCACAGAGCAAGATATTTCTGCAGAGTCTTATTTGCTTTCTGAACCAGGAATGGATAAAGGACACACAGCTGACTCCTCGTTCTCCCAAGACCTTTTGTACTGCCTCAGACGTGTGGAAGGGGCAGCTGTATAAACATGAGAGATGTAGGAACTACAGGACTGCACCAATTGGTTTGTCTTCCCACTTACATGGAAAGAAAGCAGGAGAGAAGTCATGGAAAAAAGCAAAAGCAGATGACAAAACAAAAACACTTGGAACCAGAAGAAAAGACTGAAGCCCCACCCGCTCACCCATTTTGAGAATAAGGGACTGAGATGTCTTCTCAGATCACAGTGGTGCAGCCCCCAAGTCAAACACACCCTGCTGCAGTGCTAAGGATGCTGTGACAGTGCAGTGATCACCCAGACAAGGAGCAGAGCACCTGGCAGCAGTAATGCAGAACCTGCTGGAGCCTTTCAATACTTACAAAGAGAGAGAGAAGGAAGGCAGGAGAGCCCATTGGGACACTGTCCTGTTAAAAGGCCAAACAGAAGGACTTATCAGGCATCAGCTACGGAAATGCACACACCACACAGAAGCTCTGAGCCCACACACGAGCATAGAGGAATATGTGCCCCACTCCCCTTCCTGCAGGGCGTCAGTCTTATGCAGCAGGAACATAAAAACAGACAAAAAGAGGGATACTGCGAGAGCCAGAATGCCAGGAAAGGGATATTTCCCTCCACAGCCACAGCAAGTTTTTCTGGTCTACCAAACAATTCTGCTTGGTGCAGCTGTCACTAGAACTAAGCAGGCAGTCCCTGCTGTCACAGTGTCGTGTGCACCAGAGAGTACCTGAGATCACTTCATCATGTGTCTTTACAGAAGAAAAAAACCATAAACAAACCTTCATTGCTTAGATCAGCGTGGAATTCAAAGGTTCTCTGGTGTATTTTACACAGCAAACCAGAGGTGACTGATTCTCTAGCTCTAAAAAGCTGACTAGAAAGTGAAGGATATGGCAATTCCCTTCATCTTTCTGCCATACCAGAGAATCACAGAATCTGTGGAGTTGGAGGAGAACCACATGGATCACTGAGTCTGACTCCCTGCCCTGCAAGCCCATCCCCAGGAGTCACACCATGTGCCTGAGAGTATTCACACCTCAATACTCTGTTCATTTCCCTGCAGTTTTTATCACTTGTTTTTAAAAACAGGTAATAGAAGTATTTGGATTACAGAAAAAAACTCAAGAGACCTGTCTCTGGAATGCTGTACAGTTCCAGAATTGAAATCTAATCAATAGGTATATTTACAGAAAATTTGTTCACATGAAGATGCTGGTTTGGGTACTTGGTGTGGGAACTTCATGCAGTATCCTGGGATTCTTCAGAAGATCCCAAGTGCCCTTGCACAGGGTGCAGCATTCTCACCTTCTCCGAAGCATCCTGCTTGCGAGTGGAGTCTCGCCCCCGCAGGCTCTTTGCACTGATCCCTGACTCTGATGTTTGCATCATCAGTTGTGTGGCCAGAAATTGCTGCAAGGAAACCACACTCTGTTAAGATTGTCAGGCAAAACAAGCTCAGTAAGCTCATGTCAGTTAACTATCACAGACCACAGGCTGGGAATGATTGGGTCAGAGGCAGTTTCAGTTCCTTGTGTGCTGCTCAGAATAAGTTCCTCAATTTACCTCAGAAGCCACAAGTCCTGAGGAACTACAAAACCCCAATTCAAACTCTGTTAGCCCTGCCAGCTGGGACATTCTGCTTCAAAGGATATTTTAAATAGCATAAATTCACAGGGCAGTTTCATGTGCACTCTATATCAACATAAACCAGCACAGCCACCCAAAGAAGCCGTTGCGTCCCCTGTCATTCACTGTTCTTGTTGCTTGCTTCTGTTCCTGAACCACACCCTGGTTCTTGCTGGCCTAAGCATTTCCCTGAAGGAAATTACATTTGAAATTGGTCTGGGATGAACATATAAAAAATTTTGCTGTGTTACTTTTAACTCGCCCACAATCTAGTTCAACATAAACACCTGAGCTGCCATGAGAGAGAGAAGCAGGGAAGGACAGGACCCATGGCATTCAAACACACTGAGAGTGAAACCGTGGTCTTACAGCCAGATCTGTGGAGAGAGGAAGATGCTCTGTCCTGTGCTGGCCTCAGCTCAGTACTTTACCTGGATCTGCTCCAGGACATCTCTCTGCATCTCCACGGCCATGTGGTACACATCATGGTCAGAGCTGTTGTACATCACTGCATTCTGAAACATCAGCATAATATCCCGCTGGAACTCAGCTGTGGTTCGGATCAGCCCGTTCTCAATGTTCTTTTTGATGGTAGATAAATCCATTGGCCTGTGAAAGAAATGCAGGCAAAATTGCAACAGAAATGCTTAATTCTTCCCCATCTCCTTTGGAAACAGCCCTGGGTCTGTAATGTGTTTAGTTACAGCCTATTTCATTTAGCTGAACAGGTTCTCCCCCCATGGGCTGTGCTCCCCAGCTCCAAGGCCTGGGTCAGAAGACAAAAGGTGTCCAGCAGTTACCTGGAATAGTAACAACAGCCTCAGAGATCTCTCAGGAGAAGCATTTGCCTTCTCCAGGCACCACTGACAAAGAAACTAAGGAGCTAGAGCTGCAGCCACTGAACTTGAATTGTTTACAAGAGATTTCAGCAGCTAGCAGGGAATTCTGGTAACTCTTCCAGAAAAGACCACCATCTGGGACAGCAAAAAATGTTGACTAAAGAAGAGCTTTTAGTTGACTAAAGAAGAGCTTTTAGGAATTCAAAAGGTTAAATCCTAATCTTAGATCGAAACTGGGAGAAACAGATCAGTTTCACCTTACTGATAAAATGTTCTGTGTAACTCAGCGTACTTCACACAGTCAGGACTGTGTACAGGCATGTGCCTGTTACTGATGATGACTCTTGTCTTGGGGAAACCTGCTTCTGACTGAATCATGTCAGAAAAAGAATACTTTTCCAAGTCTGAACAGCAGGCAAAAACTACATTGTTGCTGCCAGAAATCCCTACAAATATGTGGTAAATATTTGTTTCATGCTGTCCTGTTTATTTGTCTGTAACAATGATTCATCATCTCCTAAGAGAGATAAGCCTCTGAGATGGGAGAGTGGAGACTTGTCTAGGATTAGTCACTTCTTTTTGCCAAATATCAAACTCACCTGTGATTAGCTGCTGCTCTCCAAACCAGCATGATGGCTTTCTTCCAGATCTTCTGAGCCTGTATTGCTTCCTGGTCCTCACTGCACACTGAGCTGTGAAGAGAAGAATGTAATTACTTCAGGAGTCTGATCACTGCTTCAGAGCAGAAAACTCATGGTTTGTTTTGTCCTTGACATGCCCACGCTAATCCACACCAAAGACAGAAGGAAAAAGTGGGAGCTGGTACTGGAGTGCTGTCTGCACACTTGCCATTGCAAGCAAGAACCAAACAAAAATCAACAAATTCTCCCTTGGGACCCACTCAGCAAACCAGAAATGGGAATCCTCCATTCCCTGTGTGCCCTGACACTCACAACTGCGAGGAGGCCGGGCTGCTGGGGATGGAGTCGGCGAGCGCGTGGGACTGCAAGGGCGCGTTGTGGACGCTGAAGCCGTCATCGCTCTCGCTCACGGGGGGCTCGTTATCCATCTCTGAGAGATACCCCTCACCCTGGTCTTCTTCTTTGGGTTCCTCCAAACTGGCAGCCTCACTGGCACCATCCTCATCATCCTCCTCACCCTGCCCATCCTGAAACACAGAGTACATCAGCTGGCACAGCCACTGCATCCATCAGCCACAGCAGCCACTCAGCACCTCCAAGGCAACTATGGTTCTGTGAGCAAAGTGATTTTCTTGTGAGATTGCTGACAACTGTACAGGCATTTCCACAAAATCCCAGTCTCTCCAGCCTGCCCTGCTTCTCCCCACAGACCCAGAAGCACAAAAACAAACACCTTTACATTCTGAAGCAATTTCCCCTTCAGCTGCAGACTGCTCACTTCCCAGTGCAGAAAGCTGAACACAAGTTTTGCCTTTCAGCAGGCAGCAGTAGCAAGATGTTGCTAATAGACTCAAGATGACTAAAACCAACTGGGAATTACCTTCATCTGACTCCTAAACAGGGCTTGGGCCTCCTCCTTCATTGACTCTGTGAAAGAAAGAAATGCAGAGAGTTTGATTCTCCTAAGCAGCCTTTCCTACAAAAGCTCCTGCACCAATGCCTACTGTCCTGCAGTAATTAACACTTCCTACAGGTATCTTTTCTCCCTCCTCCCCAAAAAAACCTGAACCAGATAACTAACAACTATCCAGCTAATAATGTTGCATGTAAAAGATTTCCTAGCTGAATTAAGTTACCTGACAGCTCAAATTTGTGCTGAACATCAGCCTGTGAGGAGTCTTCACTCACATTTGGGACTTGTGGAGGGGATGAATCATCATCAGGTGGGGTCTGGAGGGAAGAGAAATGCACAAATCTAGATGTTTGTGTCAGCTTACTTCAGTGAAGGTGTGGGCACATCTCACTCACTCTAACCTAACTCCAGGCAGTGAGGCTCTCTGAGCACCTTCCCAGCAGCAATTCTGCACATGGATGGGGGAGATACACAGAGGTACTGCCTAAAGCAGAGCTGCTCTGCACATCAGCAGCCTGACTCTCAGGAAAACAGTCAGTCACATTCACTGAAGGGTCACTTCAACCCAGCACTCATCCTTCCTCTAAACTTTGCTCCTACCTGCCACAACTGCTCCTCTCTTTCCCCACACCAGTTCCAGACAGCCTCTGTGACCACATACCTCTGTCTTCACTGGATTGAGCACTGCATCTTCTCCCTGGGATGACTCTATCTTGATTTCAGAAGTCTCTCCTGATGTTACAACTGCTCTTTGATCTTCCTCTATCTCTTGGTTTCTAAGCTCTGGTGTTTCTGTCACTCTTGCAGTTGCTGGTATGGTTTCTTCAGGACCCAGCTGACTCTGGTCCTGCTCTGCAAGTTCAGTCTTTATTTCTGGCCCCAGCTCATTGATACCCATTAGGTCTCGAATTCCCTTTGCCTCTGGTTCCTCACACTCCAATCTCTCCTGCTTCACAGTCACAGACACTTGTGGCATCTGGGCTTGTTTCTCATGCTCCTGACGAATTGAATTTTCCCATGGGCCAGGAAGGGTCTGAGGGTCATCGGTATCTTCGCAGAAAGAAGACAGAGCAGCTTCAACAACTGCTGCATCCAGGACTTCAGGGTGGTCATCTACCTTTATTGTCAAAACAAACACATGACAGTGCAGGCTGAGGTCAGAATGAGGGATTAAAGAGAAGCTCATGTTATTTGGTACTGAGACAACTGTGGAAATCCCAGTCTACTCTGTTTTACAGAGTTGCCATTTGCAGCAAGATTTGTATCACTCCCTAGGGGAGTTTCTCCTGAAGCTTCAGTTTCCGAAATATGGCACTCCTAGAAAGGATCCTGTGAGCAGTGCTCATCTGTCTGCCAGAAACGTGACCCAAACTCTACCCTCCAAAGAAGAAAGACATTTCTTTTTTGTACTCTGAAAAGGAGCACCAGTGTCAGACATGCAGCAGTGGTGTCCTTTCCTACTGATCTGGAAAATGATGGTGAGAATGGAAATTCTGGAATTGTTATTTCTTGGTTGTTTAAATTATATTGGTCAACAGCAATCATTTGAGATTAACCCAACTGAATGTGGAGCAAAAGGCACTGGCATTCTGCTTTCCCCATTTACCTTGTCCTCAATGATGGCTATAATATTTCCAACTGTATCGAAGTCCAGCTCTTCCCCCGTATAGGACACTGCAATATCCATTTTTTCAGCCAGATCCAGATCTTCTTTCCCATCCATGCAGTGATCTTTGGAAGATCCTGCAGTGTTGCCAGCCCCAGAACCCAGGCAGTCTTTCTTGATGGAATCAATGATCATTGATATTTCACTGCTGTCCATGGACACTGTCACAGTATGGGAATCAGACACTGCCTCCATGGAAACACAGGCTTCTGGCTGGCTCACTGCACAAGGATGAGAGGGACAGTCAGAGACCAAGCTGGAGAAGTCCCCACATAAACAAACACTGCAGTGGGTAAGACCAAGCACCAACCACAAGTATCCCAGGCCCACCCACCCCACCACAGCTTAGATTAACAAAAGGCAAATATGGGTTTGCTTTCCCACAGGAGAGATTCCAACCCTTGAACCACAGTCCAGCAAATCACCAGCACTCCCACCCCCACCCAGCAAACCCTGTTTGAAACCATCTGTTTACTCCAGAACCCAGCCATAACCATCCTTTTTGGCCAGGATGGCGAGCCTGAGGTGATAAAACCCAGCTGAGAACTCGCAAGGCGCTGATCCCAGGCCGCTGGAAGTTCTGCTTTCCAGCAGGACGTGACCTCTGAGTGCATAGCTCAGGAACGCACCTGTGGCTATGCTTTCTGGAGCTGCAGCTGGTGGCACAACGGCTGGTGCTGACAGCGTGGGCATCATGACAATAGTGGCCTGGGACACAGGCTCTACGGGGGGTGGCAGGAGCTTAGCTGGAGGCTCGCTGGCAACAGCGGAGAAGGAAGCAAGAGGTGAGGTGAACTGTGCAGGACCAGCTTCTAAAAGCCGGGAAAGCGTAGGAGCACCTAACAGAGAGTAGAAGGGAAAAGCACATGAGCAAGAAGCAGCCACCACTCAAGTCCACAAAGCCACCACTGGGCTCTTCACTGTCTGGTGGCTTCTTCTGGGAAAAGACATGGAAAGATAACTAGAAAAGAGTCCCAAAAGCTGTACAGAGAACCTGCACCAAAAAATGCATGACTCCTGTTGTGTGTGCAGTCTGAGGCGGAATCATGCAGCCACGGAACACTGCACTTGCTGTAAGGGCTGGACAGACTAAGCAACACATGCACAGAGATGCCCTTCCAAAGGCTCATCCCAAAACAATTATGGGAAATCTGAAAAACAGTGCTGAGAGAGCACACAAAGTAAGCCAAGACACACAGTTGTCACAGGAGCTGGGAGGGAGCGGAGGGGATCTCTCTGCAGGTTTTTCCTGGAGAATTCTTCTTATATCAAAGGTTGCCATTCATTTTAGCTGTAACTTCCAGTCTGAATTTAGTGAACTGTGTTCAGAAATTCAGTGAATTTAGTTAATTAGGTCTGGACCAAATTAACAGGTCTTAAAAAACCAGATGTGGATAAGGAAAGAAAGATTACTTGTATGGAATTCTATATGAATAAATGACATAAATTCTCAGTTGCAGACAATGTGATTAAATCACTGGTCAGCAAGAGCTGAGAAAAAAAAAAACTTTAGGCAGGTTGTTCTGAAAAAGCCCAATGCAGAGTCCTGCACTGTCCCCCTTACCCCCACTCTGTGGAACTTCCTCTTGAACTCAGTGGTCTAACTCTCAACAGATCTTTAAGATACAGCAGAGGGAAGGCACACGAGTTCTCCAGATCCACAGGGAGTTGTGTTTTGACACACTGGGGATCAGATCTAGACCATTTTTTCCTCAACTCTCTGTGAACAAACCCTTTCTTTCTACACTCAAATCCTGGTATAAGCCAGTATCAAACCCAGAAAACCAGACTGCATAATCAGGACTGAATCAAGCCAAATTGTTTCAGTCACTCTTTTAAGGGTTAGGGTCTTCTTAAAAAGTAGGGGTGAGATGGACAGGGGTCCATCTCCACAGAAATAGGGTCCACCCATAGAAACAGGAATACAACTCATAGAGAATCCCCCAAACCAGCCAGGTAGACATCATCTTTCTCCCAAGAAAGTTCACAGAACAGTCTGAAGGCACACCTTAAGGGAGAACTGTACAGGGAGAGGCTTGAGTTACCTGAAGCAGCCGGAGATGCAGGGACAGCACCAGGTGCCGACTGCATTTCCCCACTGTGCAGCACTGGAAGGACACTTCCTACCTCCAGCAGCACTCCAGAGCTGTTCATGTGACCAGAAGCCACTGCCATTTCATTTTCACCGACCTGTCAAAGGAGGATGAGACTGAAGTTCCTGGAGATACCACCACACCAGTGATTCTCTGCCAGATGTGAACCTCCATGAACAGCACCAGCATCTGCTGTCCCAGCATTTCTTCTGCACTTTTTATTCAGGTTAGTCCCTGCCTGAGGCCCCTCATACAAGTGCAGAACATGACAGTCTGAAACTGTTGCTGTTCTTCAGCTGTCACACAGCAGCAATGCCACCTTCCTTTGAGGTGAGGCCAAGTGCATCATTTGCTCCATCCCAGCTCTTCTGTTCAAGGACCTCACAATCCTCTACACATGACTCTCTCTACACCCTGAGACGGCACTGAAACATCCCTTGTTTTTAACTGAGAGAAGTACCAAGATGGAAAGTAACTTGATCAAGGTCACACAGTGAACCTGTGATAGACCCTGAAACAGATGCAAACCAATCCTGTTCCTACAACGAAAACTCAGTCTTCCACAGCCATTATCTTTCCCTGCAAACACAAAATCCATGGAACATTTACCCAAGCTAACAAATAGAAAAAACCCTAAATCTGACTACTATGAAGAAAAAAGTCAATAGCAACACACCTACTCCACCACAAAAGCACTAACACAGGGAATCTGTGTCACAAGCAGGCTGATGGCTGCTGTTCTCAGACTGGGCTCTGAACAGTGTCAGCATCTCCTAAGACTTCCTGAGTCATTAACACCACAGGTGGGTTCTCATTACAGTGATTTTAGTAACTGTCTACAATTAGGAGAAAACTGAAGCATTTCTATACAGATCATAAATGCCATTCAAGGATTCCCTACCCTTGTGCTAAGACACATTAAGAATATTGAAACACAACTTCTGACAAGGTGTAAAGAATTGTGAGCCCAGTGTAGGAATCACCAGGAACAGCTCCATGGAGGCTGAGGGGGATGATGCTGAGTAACAAGTTCCCTCCCCTGAGGAGAACAATTTCCTCTAGCAAACCCTGCAACTCCAACTCCTTATGACTGAGGGGACAGCCAGTCCTACATGCTGCACAAGCCCTGCAGTCCTGCTGGGAAAGGGGCTCACCTCTGCAGCTCACAGGGGTATTTATACCTCTCAGATTATCACTTCTGCTGAGACTCTCACAAAACTGCACATTTTTAAAAATTCTTTGCAGATCCCCCTTTTTCAGTGGGACAGTCTGGAGCAAATTGTTTGTGTGCTTGCATATATGAGCAGAGAGCTCCATACCAGCCTGGGGCTTGTGGGCAGGAGACTGCCCTTCTTCAGCAGCTCTGAGAGCAGAGGGGAAGGAGGCGGAGTTGCTTTTTGTCCTAGCATCTTTTTCTGGGGTGAATCATCAGTGACTGGGGTCATGGGGGCATCCAGGGGAGCAGAGCCTGGAGGGGTGTCAGGGATTCCAATGAAGGAGGCAACTGGGGTGCTGGGCAATGTCCCTGGCGTGACCTGAGAAAGAGAAAAACCACACTGTTCAAAGCCACACTCCACCACACGGACCAGCCCCACTTGCTGCTTCCCCCAAGAGCATTGATCCAGCACACCACAGACACCTACTCCATTCACTCGCTGCCCCTACTCCAGGCATGTGCTTTCACCCTTTCCCTGCCCTGCAGAGCCATTTCCCAGGCACTCACAGACTGCCTGGCCAACCCACTGATGCCCCTACACGGCCTTTGATCCAGGCAGCGGATCACCACAGACAGGGAAAAGGACATGGATCTCGAGCAGCACTGTCACCAACCACACTACAGCACCTGAAGTCTGCAAAGCAAGGCAAGGGCTTCTCCCCAGGCCCCTTCTCTGTGGTGGATGCAGAGCCCCATGTCCCAAGCTGGGCTTCCCTCCTACCCGGAGAAGGCTCCTTACCCCTGGACTGGCCTCATCCCCAGCGGGCTGGGACAGATCTCCGAGGGAATAATCCCCGCCAGGGGAGGTGGAGCCAGCGGGAGAACGAACCATCACCCCCGTGAGCCTTCGAGGTGGGTTCTTAATGGCCTGGCGAGCTGGAAGAGAACAGAAATTAAAGTGAGATTCCATGACTCCATCGTGGACAGTCCCCAAGAGTTACCTTTGACTTTATCCTGAAGAACTTTAAGAGAACAATTTATGTAATAGGAATTTCTTGCACCCCACTAGGCTCAGTTCCCAGATAATACTAACTTTGGGTAATACACTTCAGCTGCAGGTTTCTCTAGCAGTTGGGTATTCACCACCTCCCACCACCAAATTAAAGAGTTATGAAGAACTGAACATTCAGAATAAAAGTCTCTTCCTTTTACCTTCAGTGACCAGGGGAAACTGAAGGTGTGAAAAGCCTGACATTCTAACACAGAGCTCTTTACTAATCCTGATTTCCACTTGGATACACCTTTCCTGAAAATTTTGTTCCTTTTTCAGAAACCTCTGCCTTTTACCCTGTTACAAATATAGTGCTGGAAAGAGAACACAACCTCTTTCTCCATCTCTAGGGTCAAGGAATTCCTCCTGCAGGTCTTAACAAGACTTCAGTATTTTCTAAATGTTCTTATAAATATATGCATTGGTCTGAGGGAAATGAGGGCAGCTCATTTCCATCTTACCCTGATAAGCAGCATCTGTAGCCTTCCTCTTGACTTCTGCCTCCTCTTCTTCCATTTTTTTCTTTCTGTATTAAAAACAAAAACCTCTGTTACAGGGTGTCTCAGTTTCTCTTAATTCCCCCTTCAAAATGAGTTTTACTAATGCCCACCCTGTTATCTCCAGACAACATCAAACCACTCCTGTGGACTCAGGCTCAAATCCCCCAATGCGAGCAGCAGAGCCAGAGAATGACACAATGGGCTGGAAATTTCACCTCCAGATGATTGTCAAAATGAAGGCAGAAAACATGGTTCTGCAAGCCATGGCCAAGCTTTTTACTGAGCAACTCCAAAAGATGCTCCACACCAGCTGGTATCCCCCAGTCTGAGCTAAATCCCCCGTCAGAGGCCAAAGCATCGGCCCAGCTGCCCCTTTTCTATTAACTCGAACTATGTAGAGCAAGAGATGCTGGACAGAGTGTCAGGAAACTACAATCTCAGAAGAAATAATTCAATAACCCACATCATGATCTCATTGCACAGCTCCTCCAGTCTGTTATCCATGTGTCCGGCCTGGATCAGCTCTGCATCCTTCTTGAGTTGCCTGAAATCATAAAATCTTTTTAATTTCTGATCACTGAACTGGACACCTTAAGCAGCATTTTCACCCCAATCACCATCCCACTTAGACTCTTTTTTCAGGACAGGACTCTCAGATGTGCAGCATTTTAACACTTCTGTCATGTACCTGTATTTTTCCTGTGTTTCTTTAATAATCTTCTTCAACTCCTCAACCCGCTCTGCAGTCAGTTTCCGCACAATAACATCTTCCACAGTTTCCACAACTTCTCCCTTCTCACCACGTTTCCTTCTACAGAATAAGAGAAAAGAAAAACTCAGACCCAAACCACACCAGCTCTTCTTTCATAAAAGGCTGCTCTCTGTCATTCATGACATGCTCATGCCAAAAAAATCAACTTCCTCCAATTCCCTTAAATTATATTGAACAATGTTCAATACAACCACAATGTTCAAACAATCTCTTCAGCAAATTTTTGCTAATTCACCTAGTGTTAAAATCTTCAAGAACAGATCAAGATGCAAGACCACTAAAAATTCTTAATCTGAAAATAATCCTTCCTTCAAGAGGAAATTCTTTTCTCCCCAGGAAGAAACATTTATTTTTTTCTTCACTAACTCTACTAAGTCCTTTGATTTTGTAACTCCAGTGCTGAAGATCATTCACAAACAAATCAGTCACACACAAATATTACTTTTAAAGATCCTGTCTTTAAGTTTATATCATTTGAAGTCCCCAAACAAAATGCCTAGAATTAGAAGAGTAACTAACTGAGATCCCAGAGCTCTAGTAATAACACTGGTAAGAAAACTGTAAGAAACCATAGCAAAATAGTGACAAATACAAAACATCTCCCTTCTCACTCTGTCTCTTTTCTACCCCTATTCTGAATGATAAATTTATGTATAAAGCTTCTGATCAGTAAGATCAATAACATGCAGTGTTTTATTCCAGCCAAATAAATATTATCTTTCCCATCTGACAAACCCTGATCCCACTGTCCCACAACAGCTATTCCACCTAAATCTTCTCATTCTGAAATTCTCCTTTTGGGAGGAGGGAGAACAGTAATTTAACAGTGACAAGGACTTTGCTGTAAGAACCCACAAGTGCCCCCTCAGCTGCTGCAGGCTGTGCTGGGGTCAGGCTTTGTACTCACTTAGGGGTCTCTGTGGTCTCCAACAGCTCTGAGTACTGAGATGCACAGTGCTGTGAAGAAAAAGAGGAAGTCAGAGGACAGTTTGCTTGCCCAAACAGCAGAACATACCAAAAATATATGGACATGCACAAACTCCTGAGGTAAGGAACTTCACAGCTCAATCACATGGCTAGTGAACAATCTCTTTAGTTAGTCTTACTTGATAACTGTGTACTGGATAAAGTACTGAACAATTAATCCTTAATTCATCCTCAATATGGCATTTCTGATTGTGCAGAATTTCTGATTTGCATTTCTGATTTGGTGTCCAAGATTCAAATGTGTCTTACCTTTTGGGAAAACCAGTCAGGTGGGCGTCCTGGCTCTGCAAAAGGTTTGATGGCTCTGCTGACTGAGACCCTGTGGGAGGGAAATGGCAAGTCACCATCCGCTTACCTTCTCCCCACACCAACATGCAGAGAACAGATGAAAACCTCACTTAACATCAGTGCATAACCCTGCTAAACATGATAAACTCACCAAGGAGTTGTACAAGTCTAAAAAATATTTGCCTGCTTCTAACAAACAGCAACTTCACTCCTTTGCTTTGAAAAGCAAGTTTCTTGCATCTGGTTACATGATTACATTTCCACAAAACCCTTACTTTAGTGAGGAGAAAAACACAGTAAAACAGAGATATAGGTTCAGTGCACACAAATCTGTTACCAAGTATCTTTGTTGTCTACAACTCACCTCATCTAATTATGAACGCAGAATCATAGAACGGATTGGGAAGGATCTTAAAGATCATTTTGCTCCAACCCGCTGCCATGGGCAGGGACATCTTCCACTATCCCAGGTTGCTCCAAGCCCTATCCAACCTGCACATGGACACTTCCAGGGATGGGGAGCCACAGCTTCTCTGGGCACCCTGTGCCAGTGCCTCACCACCCTCACAGTAAAGAATTTTTTCCTAATCTTCAACCTAACCCTCCCTCTGTCAGTCTGAAGCCATTCCCCCTTGTCCTGACACTTCATGTTCTTGTGCAAAGTCCCTCTCTCTCACCAAAGCTCTCATCACACTTTATTTTGATTAACACACCTCTACTTTTACACAGTAGTTATGACGGCAACAAAATGCCTGCCCAGGTCCACCTTCAACAACTCTTACACCCTATCTTTGTTCTGAACAGAGGCAGCGGGGTGAGCCCCGTGCCGTGCCCCGGTGCTCTGCACATGCCGCCCGCCTTCCCCGTACCAGTTCTGGTCGCCGCTGCGCATGACGGAGGATGCCAGGCAGAGCTTCTCGCGGATGGACCAGGGCTCGGTGGGGCCGGCGCTCAGGAGCTTGTGCTCTGCGGGACAGGGCAGGAGTGCGCGGGGGCAGCGCCCGGGCACACCGGGACTCGAACCCGCGGTTCCCACGGCTGGTCCCGCCCCTCCCGTGCTCTTTGGCCCCGCTCCTCCCCGAACCCA